CTAGAAAAAAAAATTAGTTAACCAAATAATTTATATCTGATCAGTGCACTGAATAAGAATATTCATTATACAAATAATACAAGCTCTAAACACAATCCTTGAAAAGAAGAGATGCCATGGGTATGTTTACGAGTGTGTGTTAATATTTCATGTGTATATATCTGATCACTTGTCTCCTGTAGATCATAAGGACATGCAAAACTTTTCTAAGTACTCCAGCTACATCTAAAAGGTATCACACTATGAAGAAAATCTGAATGAAAGAATGTACCATGAAGCTCACAAACATGAATAAAAGCAAACTAAAATGAGAAGAATGAAAAAAAAAAAGGCAAAATAAAAGCAGCAGCAGTCAAAAACATGAACAGAATCAGAAGCAGCAACAGCAGAATAAAACCTGCAACAACAGAATAAAAAGCAGTGAATAAAAGCAGCATCAGTGACAGCAGCAACAGCAGAATAAAAGGAGCAATATAATTAAAGCCCCAACAGCAGAATAAAAGCCACAACAGTTGAATAAAGCCCACAACAGCAGAATAAAACCCACAACAGCAGAATAAAAGCAGCAACAGCAGAATAAAGGCAAAAACAGCAGAGTAAAAACAAAAGCAGCAGAATAAAAGCCACAGCAACAGAATAAAAGCAGTAATATAATTAACCCTTTCAGGGTTTCCGAAGTACTAGTACGGCTTATGCGCCAGGGTTACTGACGTACTAGTACGCATAAATTCTAGAGCCTTCAAATATCATGGGAAAAGGCTGGTAGGCCTAGATGACAGAATGGGTGTGTGTGGTCGGTGTGCGCGGTAGAAAGAAAATCTGGGACCCAGTGGCACACTGTGGGAACGCCATTTTAGTAGACCTTGTTCATCATGCCTCGCGGTAAGAAACTCCTCACTCCTCGGCGAATTGGGACACTTTTGTTCCCCAGTGACAGTTCTAATACAGATGGAAGTGCCAGTGAAGATGAGTTTCAAGGTTCTGATGAAGTTGTGACCTAAACTAATGACCATAATACCAGTAATAGTGAGGAAAACCCAGACGACCCTCAGCCTTCCGCCTCTGCTGCTGGGCCGTCTTGTTCATGTTCAGTTGTACCAGAACCAAAGAGGAAACTCCTATTTTCCCATATCTCGGACTCAGATGTGAGCATTGGTGATGATAGTGATAGTGAATATGAACTACAAGCTCTTGAAAACACTTCCAGTAGCGATAGTGAAGTGGAATATTCTGCAGTGAAGCGTCAGTATATACGACGATATATGCGCTCTGATAGTGTGCCATATGCTATTCCAAGGGGAAGGAGTACATCTCGCAGTACATCCCGTGGCTGTACAACAGGAACAGATAATGAAAATGAAGATGATAGTGTTGCAATTGGGATGGAAAATGTGCATGGTGGTGGTAGTGGTGGTGCTGGCCGTGAGGCACCAGCAGTGGGCAATGCTGCCACCCACGCCGCTGCCTCAGCTGATCTACAACAAAGGCCACCATCCCCCACCCACCCACCACACCAGCCTCCACAACCACAAACTCCACAACCACAACCACCTGTCAATGTCCAGCACCCACCAGCAGACTGCACCTGGGATTGGCAGGAAGCTGCCAATTTTGCTCCAAATCCCCACCAGTTAGATGAAAGACGAAGTGGAATACAGCCATCTTGTACACTGGGGAACAATGCCAGTGAACTGGAATGTTTCAAGTTATTCTTTGACGAACCCCTGATGGAAATTGTCAGGGAAAGCAACAGATACTTTGATTACACCATGGCAAACACAATACTTTCACCAAAATCATGTCTACACCAGTGGAAGGAGACAACTGTGGCTGTGATGTATCTTTTGTTTGCCACAATAATGCTTATGCCACATGTGTATAAGCACACTGTGAAATCATACTGGTCAACAGACCGCCTGATTGCAACCCCAGGTTTCAGTGATATAATGCGAGTGAATCGATTTGTGCTACTATTACGTATGCTTCACTTCTCAGACAAAACCAGGCCTGATAGAATTCACAGGTTATATAAGATTAGGAATGTGTTTATCTGAAACATTAATTCAATATGTATTTTTATCCCTTCAGGAAGCTTGTTATTGAAGAGTCTTTGATTCTGTTCAAAGGAAGACTCTTTCAAGCAGTACATACCAAGCAAGAGGAAACGCTTTGGCATAAAGTTGTTTGTGCTTTGTGTTTGTTACAGTGGTCTTGTATTGGATATTATTGTGTACACTGGAAGTTATACATTGCAAAATACCAGGAAGTTATTGGGTATCTCTGGTGATGTGGTTAGAACAATGATAGAACCATACCTTGGTAAGGGGCATATATTATATATTGATAACTGGTACACAAGCCCCTCACTCAGTGATTTTTTGCGAGTGAACATGACAGATGTGTGTGGCACAGTGCGTGCAAATCATAAACATATGCTCAGGTTTGATGCTGGCACTTGTAGAGGTGAGGTGCAGGCATTTGGTGCCAATGACTTCATGGCATTTCGGTGGCATGACAAACGAGATGTCACACTGTGTCATCAGTTCACCCTAACGAAATGACAAACACTGGCAGGCAGCATAAAGACAGCAATGAACCCATTCTAAAGCCTGCAGCTGTGATTGATTACACCCTCAATATGCACTCAGTGGACAAATGTAACATGCAGATTGGGTTTGCTGATTGTGTTCGCAAGAGTTATAAGTGGTATATAAAACCCTTTTTCCATCTTCTGGACATTTCCATGCTCAATGCTTATAATATGTATAAGATAAGGACCAGAAACAAACCACAATACGGCAAATTCTGTTTGTCTGTCATCAGACAAATAATATTCAAGTACCAAGGAGCAACACCTGCAACAGAAAACTGCTCACTAAATTATCAACAACTACCTTCTTGTCTGAAGCATGGTGATCACTTCCTAATATAACTGCCTGCTACTGCTTTCGAGAAAAAGGCTCAGAAGAGGTGTTACGTCTGTGCACATAAAAAAAAAAACAAGACACACTTGTTTTATGTGTGAGGAGTGTAAAACACCACTGTGCATGACACCATGTTTCAAAGACTTCCACAGGTTGCTGAACTTCTAGAAACATTCCCTGTGACTGTATATGTGTATATAAAATATATTATTATTATTATTATAATCAAGGGGGAAGCACTAAACCCGTAGGATTATACAGCGCCTATGGGGGGATAGAAGGCATTCAGGCTTAATTCAGGGAACTGGAGCACAGATCCAATTCCCTAGATCAAGAGCCCCTCACCAGCGTCAAGGAGCCTTCCTTGAGGGGATATAAAATATAGAAAAATAGTAATAAACAACATTTTATATTGTTTGTTTGTGTAAACAACTTTTATAAACAATATAGTGACAAGTGTTTGTGCAGCTATTGTGTAGTAAATAAAGAGAAAAAACAAACAAAATAGTGCTCATATTGTTCTCACAGGCCATAAAAGTTACTTGCAAAAAAAAAAAAAAAAAAAAAAAAAAAAATTAGAATACCAAAAAAAAAACTATAGCTAAAACCAGGTGACCGGCAGTCAGCGATGTTACTATATGCTGGTTATTTTCTGTCAACTTCGCGCCTCCTTATCTCGGTAAGTACTGATGGTCAAAATTTTTTGTTTAGCTTACAAGATTTAACCCCTTCAGGGTTCAAGGCCCAATTCTGAAGTGGTGCCCCAGAGTCCAAGAATTTTCAAAAAAAAAAAAATTTTTTCTTATGAAATGGTAGAGAATCTTTTTGTGAAGGTAATAAAACAAAAAGTATGAAATTTGATGGAAAATTGACGAAATTATGCTCTCGCGAATTTTGATGTGTCAGTGATATTTATGAATTGGCGATTTTGCCGACTTTGATTCCCATTTTAGGCCAATTACATTATTCCAGTCAACCAAATTCTTAGCTATTTCACTAGTATTACTTCTATTCTATCGATTGAGCACAAGAAATCGCCACGTCAACTGTTTCAACTACAAATTAAGGTGATCAGAAATTGTTAATTTGGCCAATTTAACACAAAGTTCAAAATATTCAAATTTCAAAATAGGGTCCAGAATAAACAATGTAGGTATTCCTGGAACTAAACTAACATTTCCTCTGTTCATTAGTTACGTTTTGAGGCTTTACAAATAAATTCCATTTTGATTTTTTATTCACATAATGAATTTTTATTCACACCAAAAAATAGAAGATTTACTGTTATGCAATACTGTAATAATTGTATAAATATCATCACCATATTTGTGAATGCATATTAGACCCACCAGCTGGCGTGTATTAGACGTGTGAGGTCGTTTGTTTACTCTTGAATATCGGCAAAAAATTTAACATTTCTGCTACTTTGAGCTCAGTTTCAAGCCATTCCCAGTGCTAAAACCAATCAAAATCGTCTCTATTTCTGTAATATGTCTTCCATTCTATCAAATGAGACCAAGAAATCGCAAATAGAACTATAAAAAACATATGGAAAAACACTGCAAAGTCGCTGTTTTAATCGAAAAATCATGATTTCAGTTTTTTTCTCTCATCATACACAGCATGCTGCAGGATCTGTTTTATGTGGTGCACACATACCACATAGATGTATTCTCTCATATCTAGGCCCAAATGTACCACTCACAGTTTATCAGAGTGAGCTGAGCTCATGACGTAGATCTACGGTTTGGACCCTGAACATAAAGCCGTAGATCTACGGTTTGGACCCTGAACATAAAGCCATAGATCTACGGGACAGACCCCTCAAAGGGTGAAAAAAAAAAAAAAAAAAAAAAAAAAAAAAAAAAAAAAAAAACACACCTTGATGAGATTTTTTTTTTTTTTTTTTTTTTTTTGAAAAATTTTCGACCCTGAGAACAAGTCTGGGAGAGGACCTGTCGACCCTGAAAAGGTTAAAGCCACAACAGCAAAATAAAAGCAGCAACAGTGGAATAAAAGCAGCAACAGCAGAATAAAAAGAAAAGCAGCAGAATAAAAGCCACAACAGAAGAATAA